AACAGGTGCAATGTCAGATTCAATTTCATGGATATCTGCCATGGAAATACTATGACCCAAGATGGAAACAGAAGGGGACACAACAGGCTCACTTGCAGAATGAACTTCAGGAATTTTGTGTTGGACTGCATTGATCAAAGATTGCATGGATGAAGCAGTAAATGTTGCACCACATTTGCATTTAAACTGTGGGCTACCAGTACGAGAAGTAGACCCATTAGAAACAATTTTGCCTGTAGTCTGGCAATGTGAACAGGACAAAACATTGTGCAATTTTTTAAAGTCTGCCTTGAGGCCAGACAAAATGAGAGCAGTGGGAGTAGGGCGGCCAGTGGAATTAATCACCTGTTTTTGGGAACCAATCATTGTTGGAGGAGCTTGAAAAAAAAATTCGTGGGAACCAGGAGCAGGCAAAGCAGAAAAAGAAAGGTCTGAAACTGGGACAAAAAAGTGCGAAGTTGATGGTAAAACACCAGAACCACCTTCAGAGAAGGAGAAAAGAACTGGAGACGATAACAGAGGTACAGGCAATTGAGATGTAGTTGGAGATGCTGACAATCTTGAGTGATTTCGGCGCAGATGTGAAGATGATTGCAATGATGATTCCAACAATTTGAAAAAAAAGTCAATTAAAAAAATGAAAATTGGTAGATATATAAAAACAACTATGACAATCAATCCTGCTGCAAAAAACAGATAGGTTTGATATAGTAGTTATAGAGAAAAAGAGGTAAAAGTAAAACTGTGCTGGGTTTGAATTCAAAAAATAATTTGGTTGTGGAAGAGAGTGTGTGGTTTCTTGGTGTAGGTAAAAGATTTTTATTGAAAGGCTAGTGGGCACACGCACTATAGAGCTATTGCCCGCCTTTAAGAGTACAAAAAAGAATAATAGAAAGGAAAAAAACCCAAGGGGGAAAATGGGAAAAACTAGAAAGGGAAACTAAGCTAGGGGATACAAAAAAAGGGAGATAAGGATAAAATATGAAGCATGCATGAAATTCATGCAATAAATGGAAACTAAGACTAATACAGATCTAGACTAAAAATAAAAGGAGATGGCCAGTCTCATTTGGGTAGCCAGTTCAAGAAGAGTTGTCCTCTGTCTGTTGCAGCATGATCAGCAAGATCAA